GGAAAAGAGGAGAGAGAAACTCCAGCCATCTCATATATATGTATATGTATATGTATATGTATATCTAGTAGATATAATATATAATATATAGTATATAGATATAATGTCCAATAGCGGCTTTGCACGCCTAGAAAGAAAGAAAGAAAAAATGCAGAAATGTAAAGTGCAGTAATTAAATGTACAAACCCTGTGACGGCTTTTCCGGTCAGCAGGCCAAATAAAGAAAGAAAAAAAATGTCAAATCACCGTTGGCGGAAAATCCGACCTGTGGGATAGTTCAATATGTTCAGGTATGTCCAATATGTCCATGTCCAATAAGTGTTCAAGAGTAAAGGGACTCAAAGGAAATTTTTCTTTTTCAGTTTTTTTGTAGTTTTTTTTTGTGGAGGTTTTTTTTTGGTTTTTTTTTTGTGTTTTTTTGTTTTGTTTTTGTTTTGTTTTTTTAGTACCTACAGGAAGAGGTTAGGGAAAACAAAACAATATTTACAACAAATAAACAATAAAACTTATGTTTAGAAAAAAACTCAAATCGTCTCCCCGGCAACGGCGCCAAGTTGATTTTTTTTAAACATTAAGATGGACAATTAATTACACCAACTTTTAACCCCATTGGAATTTAGAAGTTTATAGTTTGAAGCTTAAACCAATAAATATTTATTACAAACATAAAAATCTTACAAAATGGAAGATGTGTTCTTGAGCTCCAAATATGATATATGATGATGAAGATGGAGTAATTTTTATGTGTTTGGATGAAGAAAGTGGTGAGATATTAGTGATTGAGGAGGAGAATTTTGGATTAGGGAGAAGGGAGAAAATGGGGGTTCCAACCTCTCAGGAGAAGAGAGGAGATGAGATTTTATAGATAAATTAGTGTATACGGAGTATATACAAACAGTTACACTTCAGGTCAATACAGCTACAGTAGCACACATGGAAATGCAGTTGGTTGTGTTGCCGTGTGACCCGTGTTCAAAGTTTCCCACCTTTCACTGTTTTGTCATTTTTTTTCTCTCAATTCATGGGCCGAATTTGATCCAGAAAATAAACCGTAACTGCCATTCATGTGGTGAACAACATCACTTGGCGCGATGGGTCGAGCTTCTAATCAACTACCCGAAGTCTAGTGTTCAAAACCTGATGGGGTTTTTTCTCCTTTATTTTTTATTTAATTCCTTCTTTTCTTCAAATATCTTCCATTTCTTTTTGTCCCAAATTTGCATGTTTATTCTCCGTTCTTGCATTTATTATCAATGCCTCCAAATGGCCTCAAAATACCTGCAAAACATATAAAACCAAGCATAGGACTGCTCTCCAAAATAAAACAGAAAATTGAAATAATATATAAACATTAAATTTAATTGGGATTCAAAACTCATTCAAAAAATGCCTAAAAAGTGTATAAAATATGTGCATATCAGTGTTGCACAGTTAGCATGACAACAATGTCAAGAGCCAAGTTCAATTCATGAAAATTGAGTTAGGAGACAAATATGCTAAAGAATTCGAGTGCTTCTGTGATGCACCTTCGTTGCATACCATTTTTGGAGACATTCTCCAAATTTTTATTATCTTTTTATTAAAAAAAACATACGCTTATTTAAATAAAAAATACTTATTTTTCAGACTTTAGATCCACTATTTGCTGACAAATAGAATTTGGCAAAGAATTTACCTCATCTTTATAAGGAGCATGCTACATATACCCCAATAACACAAAATAGGGGTACATCCCCGTGGTGTACAAAATGAGGTATAAATTATTTGGGTACAAATAATTTTATCCTCTCAAGAAATTTTTGTCAGGGTTTGAGTGGAATGCGGTTCATAGTCTTTTTTTCTTAAATGAGCAATGCTAGGGGTATACCTTTGGTGTACCAAGGTGTACCCAAAATATACACCACTCCCTTCTCCACCACTCATTTTTATTTGATTTTTATTTATTTCTATCTTTCTAAATTTCTTGCTAATTTATATGAACAAGGAAGAGGTGGGGTGTACCCAAGGTGTACCCCTAGCATTTTTTGTTTTTAAATACCTTTAAAACCTTTCCATCCTTTAAAACCCAATTACCCATCAAGCCCCACAGCCTGACAGTCGTCATACATTTTTTACTTCCTCATCGCATCTCTACTCCAATTCCCCAAATCTTCCCTTTTCATCTCCAACATCATTCTTATCCCAAATTTTTTTCATTTCGATTTTCTTCTTTTTCTTATTGTATTAATCTTCTTCAAATCTTCTTTGAATCATCCTTATTTTTCAGATCTTCCCCTTCTTCGTCTAATCTTTTTCTTTCAATCTTCTTTGTTTCAAGTCTGTCTTGTTTTTGCCAGATCTACGGGAGTGAGCTTCGTCTTCGACAGATTATGTGAGTTTCGCTCACAACGGTCTGAAGTTTTGGTGGTTTGCCGGCTGGAGCTGGACGTTCGCCGGCTGGTTTTAGATCTGCAGAGGAAGAAGAACGGTGGCGATCATTAACTTGGGATCGGTGTCAGGGGAGGCCGGAGTCTGAGCTGCCGGCCAGTTCTAGGTCGCCGGTTTTGGATTGATGGGGCTAAGCAGAATTGTGTTGACCCAAAAGAAGAAAACTGGCTATAAGTAAAAAACGAAATTCAAAGAGGTCAAAATTTTTAAATAATCTCTATTTTTTATTGTTGCTTTTCATCTATATTATCTTATTGAAATTACTGAATATATTCATTTTCGAGATCTAGTCTATGTTTTGCTAAGTTGGACGTCCAACTCTCGTAGGAGATGTGACCAAATTAGATTCTTCCTCACAAAACTCTTTCTTTGAAGAAGGTAAATGTATTATACAATTCATTATAATCCTTAATTTAATTTTTATATATCTTTATAATATCGTTATAATCAATATTTTTTTTTGAAGTGATTTAATATTTTTCCAGATTTGGGGAATGCATAGTTAATTAAAGCTATGATGAGCAAGAGGCGCAGTAATCCATCACCTGTTCATATTTGCATGGAAGCCAAATATCCCTTCCCCCTAACTGAACGTGGATCCTGGGGGGAGAGCAATTGAAACATCCATTTCAACACAAAATCTCACCTTCCCTGGCGTAGCTCCAATGACCGTTTTTGCATCCAGTTTGATAGGACGACCTAAGGAGGATGCAATGGTGAAGAGAGCTCTATGATCATTGAGGTGGACCGGAACATGGGAGACCTCGACCCAAACCGGAGAAATGGGGTTGTCATGATTGGGGGAATGGTTTGGGGACCATTTGCAAATGGTGAGAAGAATTCCCTGGATGTTCCATCTTCTCCTGTAGAACCACTTCTGGTAGTCATCTTCTTGTTTGAAGATGAACAGGACCTCGAAGTTACCCAACCGTCACAGTTTGAACTCTTTGAAGCCGCCTCTGACCAGGAAGTCTTCCAAAGCTGAGAGTGAGATTCTTTCTTTGCTCATTCCGATGAGGGCTCTGCTGAACTTTCCGGCCATGAACTCTTCTTCCGCAGCTGAAAAAATGATCGACGGCGGAAAAGAGATCCATTGAAGAGATCCACAAACAGGGTTTTACATTTAGGATGATGATAGGAGATGAGGTTTTCAGGGTGGTTTCCGGTCGCCGGAAAAGAGGAGAGAGAAACTCCAGCCATCTCATATATATGTATATGTATATGTATATGTATATCTAGTAGATATAATATATAATATATAGTATATAGATATAATGTCCAATAGCGGCTTTGCACGCCTAGAAAGAAAGAAAGAAAAAATGCAGAAATGTAAAGTGCAGTAATTAAATGTACAAACCCTGTGACGGCTTTTCCGGTCAGCAGGCCAAATAAAGAAAGAAAAAAAATGTCAAATCACCGTTGGCGGAAAATCCGACCTGTGGGATAGTTCAATATGTTCAGGTATGT